GGAGGAGGAGGAGGAGGAGGAGGAGGAGGGAGTCCCCAGCAGGCTCCTTGGAATCTAGGGCTGGGTGGCGCGTTCTCTGATTTCTCCACCGCAGCTGCTCAGTGTGAAGTCTGGCTCTGGAAAAAGAAGGAGGAGAGAAACTGATTATGTAAGAGCAACGCTGCCACTCAGCCACAAGCCAGACAAGACCCACAACGCACAGTGCACCCGCTGCCAGCACTGGGACACCCAGCCTTGGCTGCTAGCATTCAGGGACATAGGCTCACACACATAAGAATGACTCCAAGACACCCCAACTGCTGCTTGGGGCCAAGGAGTGAGTTTCCAAGGCGGACACAGGTTGGTAGCCCTGAGCAGAACAAAAGCAGCCAGTGGGTGTCATTCACAGACCGGGAGGCTGCCTGGAGGAGGCGAGATGCCAGGTAAAGTCTGAGTGACTCAGGCTGCAGGGGAGGCTGGGGAGCTAGAGATGATTCAACCTACACTCACCACCACTGAGTCCTGTCCTGTCACCTGTCTGAGTCCCCTGCCACGTAAAGACCGACAGTTCAGTTTAATTTGAATTCCAGATAAGTCAATTGAGTGTTTGATATGTGATGTTTTAGGTTCCAAATCTCACATGGGACATATTTATGCCAAACAAATATTCATTGTAACCAGGTACAGTAGCATACAACAGTAGTCCTATCCCTTTGGAGGCTGAGGCAGGAGGATAAAGAGGCCAGATGAGGCTATACAGCAAGGCTTTGTCTCCAAAAACAACAGCAACAAAAATGTGAGAGGAATTCAAACCTGTCCTCCTGGTGAGCATCCCTGAAAGTCAATGCCTCCCCGAGGCATCACAACCATGCCTCACAGGACCCTGTAAACTGTGGACCATGGTCTCCCTTTTGAAGGTGGGACTGAGGTGGCCAGCAACAGAGCCAGCTCTGAAATTCAGTTCCTGGCAGACTTCTATTCCATTCCTCTATGAACTCTCTTCCCGTATCTCATCCAGACAGAGGAAATGTTGCAAGTTGAGGGCATGAAAGGAAGCAGGTGTGAATAGGGGGTTCCTCTTGTTTGTGGCATCTGTGGCAACCCCACAGAATGTACCAGATTGGCCCTTAGGCTGGGGGTGGAACTCAGAGAGCTTATCCAGCATGCCTGAGCCCCTGAGTTTGAGCCCCAGCAAAGAGGAAGAAGCTGGAGAGTAGGAAGATCAGGGCCAGTCTGAGTTGGCGAAGGAATTCCTCGCCGTTGACTATCCAGGGATACATAGTTCCAGGTAAGCCTGGGCTACATAGTAAGACCCTGTCTCGAAGCAAAACAAGCAAATAAACCGAACATGCTGAACCATATCATCAGAGCCTCAGGGGCAGGCAGGGCCACATACCCTAAAATTCAGATTGTTCAGATTTACCCACGTGAAGACACCCCTGAGTCTCAGCCCTGCTGCCACCCCCTCCTCTGCCCCACTTTCCTGCTCCTTCTCCTTCTCCCCCATCCCACCCTGGCAACCTTCCTATAGAAGACCACTGTAAACACTATCCTAACTGTGGCTTTTCTTTTTTCTTCCTCATGTAGCTCGGGTTGACATCAGACTCACATGCTATACAGCCAAGGATGACTTCTGGGCCTACTCAAGTGCTAGGATTACTGACATGGGCCATCACACACAGTTTATGTAGTGCTGGGAATTGAACCCAGGGTTCATGCATGCTAGGTGAACTCTTCACCAACTGAGTTATATCCTCAGTCCCAACTCTTATCTTTTTTTGTTATTTTTCTGTGGGCTTATTGAATTCCTTCTCAGTATATAACTCTGAGAATTAGGCAAATTCATAGAGCCATGCAACTACTACAATAACGAAGATTTAAAACACTCTCATCACCCAAAGAAGCCGCCCCCCATCACTCCATAGTGAACCTAGCAGCGGCCCATTTGCTTCCTGTCTAGCACTTTTTCTCTGAATGTCACATAAATAATGCAATCTTAGGGTGTAGACTTTGCATCTCACTTCTCTCACATGACATGATGAAGTCAACGTTCTGCCATGTTGATGTGTGTTGGTAGTTCTCCTTCTCCTTGCTCAGTAATAGTCCCTTGTGTAGACAGATAACTGTCCACCCACTAAAGAGGCATCTGGGTTGATCCAGCTTTTGATGACAAATGAAGAAAGCACGTGCCTCAGCAGACAGGTTTTGGTGTAGATGGAGGTTTCCATCTCTCTTGAGTCCTTCTGTAATTTTGAGTCATGTCCCAAAACCTTTTAGGCCATCTGGGCTCTGCATGCCAGGCACAGAGCCTGGGCTCTCCACCACCACTGCTGTGTCCTTGAACTCTGCTATGTACAGAACTGGGGGGGGGTCCCACAGTCCAGACCCCCCCACCATAAGGAGGTTCTTCACCCTGTCCAAGTTGAACAAATTCTGTCCCAACCTCTGTGTGTGTGTGTGTGTGTGTGTGTGCGTGCAGGTACATACCCATATACTCACACAGAGGCCAGAGGAGGATGTCAGGTGTCCTGCTCTATTGCTTTATATGTTATGCTCAGTCTCTCACTGAGCCTGGTATGTGCGTGCAGGTACATACCCATATACTCACACAGAGGCCATTGTCCTGCTCTATTGCTTTATATGTTATGCTCAGTCTCTCACTGAGCCTGGAGGTAGGCTGACAACCAGTGGACAGCCCAGTGATCCTCCTGTTTCTGTCCTCTACAACACTAGAGTTATAGGTGCATGTGCAGCTAAGCCTGACTTTTTATGTGGTTGCCAGGGATTCAAACTCAGGTCCTCAGGCTTGCACAGCAACAGTTCTTACCTCCTGAACCTGCTGAACCATCTCCCCAGCCCCTGTGGCAGCCTTTTGTTACCTAGACATGTCCTCCGACTACTATACACTATACCGGCAAGCTATAGTGACACCTCTTTCCCAGGTTCAGTTGAAAGGAGGGTCAGCGGGGAGTCAGTTACCCCTCCCACCCAATCAGTCAACCGTAGCTGCATGAAGAGGAGGGGCTAAGGATACATAAGCCAAGAATGCCCCGAGGCACCTCTCTGAGGCACCTCTCTTGCAATTTCTTGCGGCTATCAGGAGGTCACAGGATCTATGTTTGGGTGTGGACATTCCAGCACGGATGTAAATGGAGGAGGGCGCCCACTCTTCTGTAAGTAAAGACCCACCCCATGCACTGTTAGCAAGTCCAATAAACTATTAGGATTTTCCAAATGGTGGTTTTGGAGAGTTCTTGTCTCAGGTTGTTGTAAAGACAGTAGGAGGAAGGAGCCGGAAGCCAATGTGAACCTCTCAGAAGTAAAATTTAACTACACCTCTTCACTCAGAAAAGACCCCAGGACCAAACTCCATCATGCATCTTTGTCTGCCAATCCTCAGTGAAATAGAGTGCATCACAAAGGCTTGGTCACCTTCATGCTATACATGTCTCAAGTCTTGAACCTTGTCACTCTCTGTGGCCCTAGTATGAACCCCACTGAAATGGGGGAATGAGAGAGAGACCCCAAGTAGGCTGCCAAAGGAAATAAATCTGATGACAGACTTTGGAGCTGGGGTGGGAGCACAGAGGAAACCAGGCCACCGACAGAAGCAACTGACACTTAGGCACAAAGGCCTCAGCACTTCCCTGGCAATGAGACCCACCCCCAGGCCTGCGAGCCTTTTGTCCTCAAAATACTGATTTCTGGGGACTGGAGAGATGACTCAGCCACTAAGAGCACTGGCTACTCTTGCAGAGGACCTAGGTTCGAGTCCCAGCACCCACAAAGTGGCTAACAACCGTCTGTAACTCCAGTCCCAGGATCTGATACCCTCTTCTGACGAGGCACGACACGGGTGCACCTACAGTCATACGCATAAAATAAAAATAATAAATAAAAATATTTTGTAAAAGATACTGATTTCCTCCAGTCCCAGGAGGCCTGGGCCTGCATCTTTTCTCCATCTCTACCTCTGTCTCCAGCTCCTTCTCCAGAGTGGAGGTAAAGAGTTTACGCCTTTCCCACTCCACCCGGCCTCTGGGGTTCATAGCATCACCAGGAAGCTCCTGGAAGAAAAAGTGCTAAAAATTTAAAGTGGGTGGAGTGGTCAGCATAGTTCCGTGATGAAGAGCATTTGCAAAGTCACAGAAACAAGTGGAAAGCGAATAGCATTCTCTACAGATCATGGCTTCAGGGTCCTAGGAGGACCAGGGTCAGCAAGAGGGCAGGTGTGTCAGGAAGAGAGGGTGACACTGAGCTGAATCTTCTACAGAGAGAAGAAGCAGGGGCACCTCATTCAGGAAGGATTAGATACAGTTGGGTGTGTTGGAGATTGAACTGCTACATAAATGGGTAGTTCCTGCCTTCCACTGACCTCCATCCCCAGTGCATGAAAACTGTTATTTGCTTTTGTTTTTCTTGAGACAGACACTATGTAGCCCTGGCTGGCCCAGAACTCTCTATACAGACCAGGCTGGCCTTGAACTCACAGAAATCTGCCTGCCTGTCTCCCAAGTGCTGGGGTTAAAGGTATGCATTGCCATGCTCAGCTTAGATAATTGTGTTTTGTTTTTTTTTTTAAGTTGAAAGTCTTACGTTCCAGAAGTAGCAGGTGGGGAGAAGGGAACAAGCAGAGACCTACTGTTGCTTATAAGGTCACATTAAGCTATTTTATTCTTTAATTCAGATGCAGACTTGTTGGCTTTTTGTTTTTTAGACAGGGTCTCATGTACCCCAGACTAGCTTCAATATGTAGGGGCTGGAGAGATGACTCAGAGGTTAAGAGTACTGGGCAGAAGATCTGGGTTCGGTTTTCAGCACCCACATGGTGACTAACAAGCATCTATAATTCCAATTCTAGGGAATCCAACACCCTCTTCTGACCTCTGGGCATTGTACAACACGGGCGTACTTACATACACACAGGCAATATACTCATACACATAAAATAAAAATAATAAAAAATTTCAATATATAGCCAAGGGTGACCTTGAACTTCTGATCCTGTGGTGTCAATACCAGGCCTGGTTTATGCCTGGCTGGGGATTCAGGGCTTCATGCATATAAGGCAAGCACTCTACCAACCAAGCTACATCTCCAGCCTATAATTTGGATTCTAAAAAAACAAAAAAATTGC